CTAAACCCTTGATGCGGCACCCGGCTCCGGCTGCCCAGGTGCAATGAAGAAGCTTAATCGGGGCAGCATGCTCAACATTTTGTGCTCCAGCCTCAACGCCAAGAGTCATGCAGTCATGCAGTGGCAAGCATGATTTAAGGCTAGGGCAGAAGGACCCTCCATCAGACGGTTCTCAGGCTTCGGCCCAACACGTTTCCGCAGAATTTCCCTGCATGTTGGGATGCAAAGGGGATGAATGGCGGCCGCTTGAAAATTGCTGTCCATGCCTGTCGAGGCCACTATCATCAGCATGGAAGTAGTCCGTGTCTGATGCGAACACCTTGGCAACGCCTTAGCCCATGCACGTTTAGCAAAGCATGAAGGAATGCATCCCGTAGGGAGTAGAGGGATCAGCCACCTTGTTCTCGTCATAGACACAAGCATTGTTGTTGAGCCATGTGTGCAATCCTTCCACTTCTAATTTTATGTGGGCAGTTCGCACCTCCAATGACAGAACTGGGTCCTTTTGGGAGTTTGCGAAAAACATCCCCATATTGTCCCTACCAAGGCTCCCGATCCCCATCATCTCCTTATAATGGTTTTGTATCCCTCGGGTTCGTTCGAGGGGTCCCGGAAACTCTCTTCTGCGCCGTGAGGCGTCACTGAGGTTCTCTCTAACCCCTTTTGTGGAGCACTGATTGCTGTTGATACTGTATCACGAATATCATAATAAGAATAATAGTTTTTATTTTTCTTATATGTAAACGAGTTCCCAAGGTATAGGGTACTCGGGATGTTTACGGATTGAGTCTGGATGCTTCTGTGGGGATCCCACACTGGCTCATGTAATGCACGGGCCTCACTGACTTCGAATATCATTGAGGTTTGTTTGAGGCACCCTAAACCGCAATCGCAGAAAGAATCTAGGACCGCAATGGTGGTAGTTATTCCTATAATCCGGTATACAAACCCCGTGTCAAATGCAATTCTCAATTTGCTTCTCCAGTGCTGCCATACATTTTGTACTGAGTTCAGCCCCTCGTAAGCCCCAAATGACAGCCCTGCAGAACTTGCACTTGAAGCCCGCCACTGCTACCACCGTTCTGCGAGACCACGCTTGTCACCACCTAGCCACAGCAACGTTTCATGGTCACAGCTCGGGAGATACATGAGCTGTAGTCTAAACCCTTTGTAGAGGGATATGAGGGATGCAAATATTGAGGGACCCTAAAATAGGGGGCATACTGATTAAGGGGCATACTTGGAGTCTAGACTATACTTCATATAAGGTTTAGTGCTCACACATTGACATGAAAGTTCTGTGAGGGCTATAAGGCAATAAGGTGGGAAACAGATTCTATTCACTTCCCTCCTCTGAGTCTATACATGATACCTAGTTTGGGCCCTATACACCACAAATTTAATCCCAATCACGCGCTGATTCCAATACTTGTGGATCCCCTACAGCCTCCGCGAACATGGATGACCGCGGGGTATCTGCAGGCCTCCCACACGGCAGCTCAGGCAGCTTTTTCACATGTCAAAAGCTAATGATGATCCCCCGGCACCTCCCCTTATCATGCATACCCTTGCACTATCACAAATTCAGGGGATGGGGGCGCTCATTATTCAGATGGCGCAAGCTAAGCCCATCCAGCCTGGGGGAACGCATTCCATCCTCGCCATCCATGCCTTGGCATGGTGAGCACTCGTGGCCTGAAAGGAATACCTGCAAGCTCCTCTAAAGAAGGGGGGGTTTAGAGACCCCAGGGGCTATCTATAGGGACCGTGATGAGGACTATAATGAAGTCATGGGCGTCCTGTTTTTATTGGGATTCTATACGGGCTGTTGAAAACATGGCGCCACCTTCCAAACCCGCCTTTGTACCTCAGAACGCGCTTGACGATTGCAATAACGCAAATAAACAAAGCATTTCTCAGGAGAACCCGTAAAGGGACCCCCCCTTAGAAGTTCCTTCTCATCCCTACCTTTTCATATCCCTTGTGGACTGTAGGCCCCCACCCCCGCCCTCCCCCACATCGGAAAGAAACTCCCAAAGCCAAACTATACGCATCCGAGCTGCAGCTGGCTCTGGCTGCGTGCTGGCTGCACACTTCAGGCCCAGGGCCACTCTGTCTCTTTGAGCAGATCGGGCGAGGAAGCAATGCGTGTTAAAGGTGCTGCAAGGCATTGAAGCAACTCCGGATGACTGTTTTCAGAGTCTGTCGGTTCATCTCTGCAGACAGTGATGGGAGCATACCAAAAAAGTCCCGGGACACGCATCAGTCGCAAGCGAACACTTGGCAACCATGTGGGACATGTTCTGAATCACTATTCCCAGAAAGGGTGGAAGTTACATAGGGCCAGCATTATACTAGGAAACCAATCATAATGTCGCAGTATGTTGGGGCTGCACATGGCTGCACTGAACAACATCTGCGTCCATGCCACTTCCGAATGAGGCATTGCAAGCCAATGAGCAATGGGAGCCAGAAACATTCGAAACTCAGGCCATCCACCCTGACTTAAGCTTCACTGGGTATAGGGTTTACGGTTAGGACTCGGGGCCTAGGTTTTAACGCCTTCAACCAAACTTAGAAACCTTTCAAAGTTTTTCCAAATGTGAACTCTCCCAAATCGTATTCCCCCCTTTAAGGAGTTTAGAGTGTGGCTCATATGGCTTTTTGGACTGTGGGTCACAGCCCCCCCTTTGGCTTGAGCCCATCCATGCATGCAGGCAGGCATGAATGAAGAAGCGCACCAAGGAACAATCCAACAAGAAGAACCGAACAAACCTTCAATGAACTAACCAACGAAAGTCAATGAACCAACCAAGATATAGACGAACGGACGGATGGAACAAACGGACGGAACGAGTAAACGGAACGAAGGGTTTCTTCCCACAAAGCCTCGGGGTATACCCAGAAACGGGTACCACGTGCGAGAGAAGCTCCTGCAGATCCTTCATGATCCTTCGCACATCTTGGAATGTACGCACCGGGGAGTCTCGGGGCACAGCTTACCCATGCTAAGGGGTCACATTGCACTGTTGCCGCTCTGGGCATGCGTGCATTGCAGGCTTGCTCCTACTTCTGAGGGCGCCGCGACCAAACAAATTAACTTCTACAGACATAAAAAACCCGCCAACCCCTACTTTTGAGGGCGGCGCAAAACTAAACAGAAGGGTATACATACTTTTCATCGCGGACGCTTCCTCGTCATCCGCCTTTCTGTCGTCACGTTGGCTATTCTTGAAGGGTCCCCACCAGCTGGAACTTCAACGACAGGCAGTAACCAAAAGGCTGGCTAGGCAAGCCCGATGAGGGGTCAAAGGGACATGGCACTTGTGGAGGTCCTCCGCCCGCAGGCCTTTAAGGCCCATTGTTGGCTGCCGATCGCACCGGCGCAGGGCATGGCCCACAGGACGTGGCGTGCGGCAAGGGTCGACTTCTCCAAAAGGGCTTCAATTGGGCACCTGAGGGGCTTGGGAGCTTCAAGGGGAGCTTCAGAGGGCGTCCCGAATTCTCGGGGGGGAGGTACGCTTGAGAAGGGGCTTGAGTGGTAGAACCAAGTCACCACTCCGCTGCAGAATAACGACGATCAAAAAAAGGTATTTCAGTAACTCACCACGCCAAGTATTCTCTTTCTTCGACAACACGAGATCAAAGATTGAAAACAAGGGTGTGTGATTTAGCACGACGAAGATCAGAAATGGCAAGGGGGTGGAATTCGAAAAAAAAAATTCACTCCTCTCGAATAACGAAATGAAACAAACGAAAACAAAAAGGGCGCGGGGTGGAATTTCGAATAATCCCAAGGCTTTAAGCCCCCTTTCGCTGAAGCTTTTTGCTCGATCCGAACGCAATGCCCTTGCAAGGACGCTGTCATTTTTCCACCTGCTTTCAATGCAGTGGCAAACATCGCCTGCTTGTTGGTGGTTTGAACACCGACCTACCTATATATATCTCGACTTCTATCAATGCGACTGGTTCCCATCGACAGTCGATCGCATCTTCCCATCGCAGGCGAGCGCACGTTGAACCATGTCTGCCTGAGATCGGTTGCGCCAACAAGCAACGTCGCGTCCCCCAGGATCTGTGCCCTCATTTGACCCGGGAAGCCTTTGCCGTGCCTGCCTAAAACCTCAGAAGCCAGTTCGTTCAGTTTTCTTTTCCCACCAAGCAACCCAACATGATTGAGGTCAGGGTGTTATGGCTGGCTTATTCAACCGGCTTCCTTTCCATACGTTCACACCGTGGCTGCCATCTTCACAATGACAGGCATTATATTGGCATCAGGGTTTAGGCTTTATTTTGTTCCCAAATTCATCCGGGAATATATCTTCATCTTCTCAAATGTTCGTTACCCTTGATTCACTCCATTCGAGCCCTTTTTCCGAGGAAGGGTACAGAATCGATCACCTGTCCATTACGCAGGTCTTCTGTCTCACTGGGTGCAAGAACAATGCCTGCCAGTCTGGTCGCCTGGCACGTCATCCTTTGATGGCGCTCAGCCCCAGGCATATGCCGGGCGATCGCTTCAGGCTTCTGTTCTACAACCGACTTCAAATGAGACAAAGCCATGGTCTGCGACTCGAAGAGCAGCCGCTTCGCCTGGGTCACCAGCGCTAGCGTCGGGTTGGCGGCCCCTATTTTGGTCAGGAGGGCTTCAACCGATGCATCTGTCAATGGTTGCCCCGGTGGGGACGCAGCATAAGCTGCTTGGCTGACCGTCTTGATGCCTTGTGCCACTAGCTTGTTTATCACGTCCTCTGCCATGCCTACTCTGGCCGCATGTTCCTTGAAGAAAGCCTCCGAGTCTGCTGCGCTAGCCATTGCTCTACAGACACTCTATCTGACCTCGGGCCCGGGCGAGAGCTCGGAAAGGCGATGCTCAAGCTGCTCAGATACTGAGGTGCATCCTTCCACCGCTCTTTGTTTTACTGATCATGCCTGTGCAAAGCATCGTTTACACAAAACTGAGCCTTCAAGAGTATGGGTTACTCGAGAGAAGTTCTCTGTCACAACTGGGCCGCACTTGAGAGACACCGCACCTGGCCTATGCAGGTGCACGACTGTCGATTTGACATTTCGCAGTGCCTCAAAACCGTCGGGGAGGCCGGGTCGCACGTCTCCTCCTCCATAGACGTGGAACTCGCGGTGTCTGAGTCAGAGCTAGAGACAGGGGATAAGATGTCGGTCGCCACGAGGCCGACCCCCGAGCAAACTGTGTCCTTTTCGTCTTCTGGTGCGTCCCCGAGGCTTGTATCTCCAGGCTGCTGCGTTGCCCTGTCTGCCGCGTCTACCTTTACAGCCACTTCTGGACTGTGGTCACTTATCCCATCTTCCGATGTGGGCTCCACTTCTTTCGGGCCGGAGCTGCACTTTGTCCCTTCCATTAGAAGCCATCGCTTCCGGAAATTGGTGCCAAAGAGAGATGTCCCTGTTGGGCTTGCTGCATGCTGTTCGTCCTCAGCAGCGCTGGCCTTCTCCTTGCAATCTGGGCCTTCCCACATTGCTGGCGTCGGACGGCACACTGCTGGAGGCTCACTGACCATGCTCCAGGAAGGAGCTGCCTCGCTAACATTCTCCCTAACAAAGTAGCCACTCCTGGTCGCGTCGGGAAGAAATGAGCCTTCACGTATCTGTTGGAGCATCTGTTCTAATTGGCGAATTGGTCCACTCAGAGCATCCCGAGAATAAGCCAGGTCACTCATAGGCCCTGTGCTATGGTGTGCTAACAATGTCTGCGTCTCACCGTGGATCCCAAACCTACTGAGCCAACCCAGCACCGTGTGCTTGAGACAGTGCGACGTAGTGCGCTGTCGGGTGGGATCACTCCTCAACAACAGTCCATGCAGCCAATCTGATGCCTCAGCTGTGTCTATGTGCCGTTTGAGGAAGGTTCCCCCTGGTCCTGGGGCCGGGAGCAGCGCCCCAAGCGGTCTTTTCGCCAAATCAATGCCTGCTAACTGGGCAGCATGGTGCCATTCAAGCGCCCAGTGGAAGTCGGGGCTGACTCCCTGAATAGGTGCCACCAACGGCATGAACAACGCCTTCTTTTTCTTGGCTTGGCTACTCTGCTTGACACGGCGTGCCCTTGCTTCCACGTAGCCGACGGGTCGGCCAGCTACTTCTGTGACATCGAAGGAGAGGCTGTCAATGCACGCTACATCGCTCCAGCGGTTCCGTGCGAACAACTGGAAACACATAACCCCTGCCGCAAACCTGTCAATCGGGTCGGCATCCTGTGCACGTATAGCTTCTTCCACCTGTCGCACTTCGCTAACCGTCAAATCACGGGCCTGGTTTTGAGGTAAGTGCTCCCCTGCAGAACGGTCTGCTGCACCCACCACTCGCGGTGACAAAACTGCCTCCAGGTTGTGACATCTTAGCGCATGCTGGGCTAGGCGCAAGGCTTGGACCGTCCCGAGCGCTGCCAGCTTCCCTTTCGACCTGCAAATAGCTCCTTCAAGAAAGCATACAGGATCGGCTCCGGAGGCATGAGCGGTTCGTGATTATCTACTCCTGGTCTCAGCCACTTCATGAACCTGATGAGAGACGTGGCCCGTTTCAGTGCAGTATGGGGCGACTTAACGCCGAAAACATCTCTGATAGACGAGAGAGCTTCCTCGTCTTCCATGCTGCAGACACTCTGGACAAACTTACCGGCCGAGGGCGATGCCAACATGAGCGTCAGCCAGAGTTTGACAGCTCGGCCCCACACGTATTCGCACTTCTCGTCGAAGTCTCTGTCAGGCTTGCGCCTAACTGCCTGCAAGAAAATGGCCTTGTCAGGTGTAACCACTCTGCACTGGCGCTTTACTGATCGTTGCTCTGACAGCTCCCTTAATTGGATCTCAGCTTGACCATACATGGTGGGGGTGGGCAGGTCATCGCTTATGATCGAAGGCGCTGAGAAGATCTCTTGAAAGACTCCGGACTCCCAAGGTAGTCGTATAACGGGCAAAGTAGCTTGCTCAACAATGACATGCTCGCTCAACCCATCTTGCGTAGCCTGCACTGGTAAGGCCGGCGCGATCGCATCATCGGAATCGTTTTCCGACGGCACTTCTAGGGCTCTCATGCTGCAAGCCAACTCAATGTGCAAGGTCATGTTACCCTCTTGCGCTGGCACTTGCACTGAGTCTGGGAACCTACAACCTGTGGAACACTCGAGCCGAGGAGAACACGACTGACGACGTGTTGAGCTAAGCAAACATCAGTACAGCAGGATCAAGACTGTCAAAGTCTGTTGTCTGTTCCTTTTCCTTCTCAGTTGTCAGTGGCTCGCTAGGTCCCTTTGGACCGGGGCCTCTGCCCTTGTGCAGAGGTTCTCTCTCTGTAAGAGGCTTTCCCTAGATAATCGACCCTTGTCGACATCACGGGCCTGCTGCGCAAAACTCTAGCCAGGGGCCGAACAGTCCCGTGCCGCACTCCTGCACAGGTGACAACATACTGGCGCACAGTCAGCCATACCCTAGTCAGACTCTTTTTCCAACGAATACATACTGCTCCCTTCTTTCATGAGTGTAAGGACTGGACTTACGGTCATCCCTCAAATATCCCTTGCAGAAAGCCAACGCTGGACACTGAGGGGGCGGCAACCTTGACAGTCCTACCGATACTGCAGCAGCAAGCACACTCCACCATGTTTTCAGTTATGCAGTAAGTCAATCAATGTCCTGGATTCGCTTGTAGACGCCAGAGGCTATGGTTTTCCGTAACACACTCGCTGATGCACGCATTCGAATCGTGCGTCCCTGTGGTGCTTGACCCGGGACTGGAAATGTCCAAAGAAAACTCCTGGTGAACAAAAGATTCAAACTCACCATTCGCTCTACGCACTTGTTCAGTCCATGGGGGTGCAGCATCTGTGGTTTCATGCTGAGGCCACACTGTGGAGGTGACTGCAGACCAAGGAAGATGATGAGGAGGATTTGCGTCTTCAACATACAAATGTAAGAAGGCCTGGAGGAGTTCACCCTTTAGGTCCTGCAACGCCAAGCTGACGAGAGCTTCAGGTGTGTCACATCGTTGAGCTCTATGGTGGGCACGATCGACGAGCCTGGCAAGCCTGGCCTGCCACTGGTTTTCCGTGAATCCAAATCTTTTGGGGTCGAGCATGCCAAAGTCCTCCAGAACCTGTTCCTGCAGAAACTCCGTCAAACCTTCACGCATATGATCGAGAGCTGCAGCATGTAATGCCATGGCATGAATTTCACAGGTTCTCGGACCAAAATCTTGAGACAAGAGAACGAGAGGACAACATCACTGCAGCGAGTACCTAAATGCATGGTGAAGTCACGAAACAACTCCTTTGTAGAGGCAATGCAGCAACTGCCTGGCGTGGTTTGACAACTGCCACGGTCTCTCCTCGCGTGTGCACCATACTGTCTCGCAAGGTCCTCCAGGACAACATTAAGTACAATTGGCCAAAGCAAGAAACTTGCTCGATCACACTGAGGCGCAAACTTCTCAGCATACTCGCTCACCATGCACTCTGTGCCACTAAACAAGGCATGACATGCCCAAACAAGCGCAGACACACTGTAGACGCTCAGGGGCTCGCTCAATCACACTGAGGTACCCGACAGTCTGAAGCTCTCAGAAAACAAGCAGAGTGCACTACTGCTCACCTCAAACACAGGCCAAAACCGTAACACAAACATGGAGTATCTTCCAGCTGAGTACGCGAATGCTCCATTTAGCTCGGAGCAAACCTGGCATGGCTCGAAATGCAGTTCGTCACGGGGCCCGTTGAAAGACGAACCTGTTGAGGCTCGACCCGGTTGGGGCTTTTTGATTTTCTCATCTGACTCTCAGTGCCCTCTCGGGCTGAGCCAAAATTTCTCACGCATTCCATGGTGAAAAATTTTCTCTCAAAATAAAGGTTTGTACTCAAGAGTACTAAGCCCTTAAAAAATTGGCAAGAATGAAAACTTCAAATTTCAAATGCAATTTCAAGATTTTGGTTTCCACACATTCCACACACTTCTACTGTTACTACTATTACTACTACGACTACTACTACTACTACTACTACTACTACTACTACTACTACTACTACTACTACTACTACTACTACTACTACTACTACTACTACTACTACTACTACTACTACTACTACTACTACTACTACTACTACTACTACTACTACTACTACTACTACTACTACTACTACTACTACTACTACTACTACTACTACTACTACTACTACTACTACTGCTACTACTACTACTACTACTACACATCCCACTGATCATGAGCAGTACCTGCAATCGGCGAGCCGTTTGTGCTCCAAGTTCAATACCCCGGGCTCCGTGTGAGCACTGCAGAGCGGTCAACAAGGCCCCCAGACAGCACCCAGCCAAATGTACTGTCCTTTGGCAAATCTGTCCTTATGCATCTGAAGCTGCGTAGCGACAGGACTGGCGATGGAGGAGCTTCAGCATGTCTTCGGCCCGCTGGTGAAGGACCAGCTGGATCTCATGGAGTGGGCACCGACGATGAAAAGGGAACTGGCGCAAAGGTGGGGGCAAGGGACGCGGTCCCGAAGGCCCCAACCTGACCTACTTGATCAAAGCACTGGCCAGACTGGCGCTGCAACAGGAGACAGCGCTAAAGATCCTACGCCAGGACTACAGCTGGGTGCTCTTCATTCAGCCGGGCAGTCAGGGGCCACTTCCCCTCCAGTTTGCGGCAGCACAAAAATGGAAGAAGTCTCAGGAAGAGGGAGCTACGACCAATGCCCTACGCACCACCCTATTCGGGTGTCTGATCACGATGCTGCATGCGGGCCTGAAGGACATCGGAGGGGCAACGCCGACACCCTTCCAGACCAAAGCGGAGGAAAACAAGTGGCTACAGGATGGCCACTGGTGTTATCAGAAGTGGTCACCAGCGCCGGGGAGCCTAGTGGTAGATGAGGGGAGGCCCCCGCTCCCGCACATGAAGCTTGTGGAAGCACTACAACTCCTCCTACCCATCATCACGCAGCCCTATATGATACACAGGTTTCACGCCACACGACCTCTGGCAGACACCATGACGGGGATCACCGCTTTTCAGCTGGACATCTCCAATCGCACGAAGGGCCGCCCAACAGTGTGCGAGACTCTGGAGGCATTGACCGGCTTATCAGCCCTGCAGGTCATCGGCCTCCAACTGAGGAGGGACACGCTCAAGCAGTCACCGGCTGCCGCGCTTGTCCAACAGACGCTGGCAGAATACTACTAACACGGCTCCGCAACAGCAGCAATACATGCTACCTTAATGCAAGTGTACGCGCCTGGCTGTTTGCAGTCAGCCACCTCCAGGTAGCGGACATCCTCAAGTATGGTGCTCAGGAACAGGCGTGGAGGGACGTGTATCATGCGCGTCAGCCTATTCACGTCCATGCACTGCGCTCCTGGCGGCCCTTGTTGTGCAATTGGGCTAACTTACACCAGCAACAGGATGCTTGTGAGTTCCTAGAACACCTCCTAGGAGCTGGACGACCCCAAGTTCTCCAAGGCAGGTGGGAATCACGCATTGTTAGTTAGTGAGGTAGAAGGAACAGAGACCAGAGGACAACACAACACACAGCGGTCTCTCACTCTTGACTTCCCGGACCCTTACGCCAACACTACCCTTCAAGCACTTATTGACCACTGGCACACAGGAGGCACGTACATACAGGCTTGCACACATCCTCCCCGCATCATGCTCCTACGCATCTCGCGCTTCTTGGACACAGATGCTGGCGAGACAGTCAAACTGCACACCAGGGTAGCCATTCCCACTGCTGTCCTGATTCCGTGCTATTGTGACCCACATCAAGGAGCTGCTTGCACGCATACCACATATCTAATCACTGCATGTGTGCTGCATCGAGGGTCCACTGCGCACGAGGGGCACTACACTACCCGCTTTCTCAATCATCTCCCCTCAAGGGTTGCGCCTCATGCGCCCCCGCAATGGCACGCTGATGACAGCAAGCCCATTGAGCGCTTTAACACTGCTGTCACACATGACTCAGTGCTCAGTCAACAGTGCTACCTCGTCCTGCTTTGCAGGACCACGCTATGAAGACTTGAGCGCAGTGGGGTAGCCGCCTGTGGGGGACACATAGGCAGCCTGTGCTTACAAAAAACCCAAAAAATCAGAAAAAAGCATTGCACTGCTGTCTTGTGGCTGCGGCTACCTGACAAACACCCACGCTCATGTATGCATGCACCAGGTACCTGTGGCACGATGTGCAGTGAGCCTCCCGGGCCACTCTACTGAGCACGAGTTAATTCATTGCCAATTGACGAGGCGCTAGGCTGCCACCCTGCGATAAAACGACAGGGGTTGTTAATGATTGCACGATCACGCCTACCCTTCCTACTAGTCCCCACACTCCTCCACAATCCCATGGCGCGTTCTGCCTGAAACATCGGGCCCGAGCATGGCACAACACCCTGCGAACGATACCAGTGCACACTCCTGACTGTGCAATGGGGGAGGCTGTTGGCCTCAAGTCAACACAGGATGAGCATGAGGTAAGGACCCCGTACTCATTGGAGATTGATGACAAGCTCCCCGATGACACGCCATACCCACGGCACATTGCTGAACAAATTGCGGCTGAAATGATCGCCTGTGGACAGGTACGCATGAGTGCATGGGAGCTACTATGTGATAGTCTGCCTCGTAGCGATCTGCGCAGTGAGGCGCATGCCGACCTCCTGGCAGTATGTGCTTTCTGAGTGGTGCCTACTCACAGGGCCCACTACATGGACTCAGGCACAATACCACAAAGTTTCCGTGGGTAACTCTAATGGTGTGTAAGTACATTCGCTCCTGCACCCGGGTGCCCTTCACTAGCTTCATCCTACAGCGTAATACGTTCATGACGGCACACCGAGACATGAACAACGCCAGGCAAAGTGTCAATGCTGTACTACCCACAGGCGGAGGGGCATGGGTACATGACCCGAACGGCAACTATGCGTCTATGGATGGTACCATGCAGGGCACTGTGATGAATCTCACGCTGCCAGGAGTCACCTTTGACCGTCAACAATGGCACGAAACGCGCCCCTGGACAGGAGATCGAATCACGATTGCCATCTTCACGGTCAGGGCTGTGGATGACCTCACCCCTGCACATGTCGCCGCGCTCCGGAGACTGGAGTTTGCACTACCTGCACCACCTGCATCACCTGCACCACCTGTACCATCTGCAAAAAACCTTGACAGTGAGTGAGAGGCTAGTGCGCCATCCTTGGCCACTCTAGACCGTCAGTGTGCCCGACTGGGCCACTTGTACATAGACCGTGCCGTCTAGTGTACAGCACCTCAATGTCTTGTACATACTCAGCGACGATGATTTAACTGCAGGCTGAGACGCTGCATCCGAAACTGTTTGTCCACTGCCCCGGCAATTCATGCTGAAGCAGTTTTTGTCTGTGCCACTGTGCACTAATCTCTTGACTGGTTGAGTAGGACGCAAGTTTGCAGCTATTCGTAGCGGGACTTGCCCATTATGGTTCTAGTGCTCGTGAAGCACCGGTGCAAAGCACTGCCATGTACCTGACGCCAAGCTGAGTGACCGGCTGCGATAATAGTAATGACACTAGTAGCAGCAGTAGTCTTAATAGTAATAATAGTAGTAGGAATAACAAAAAACTAATAATTGTAGTAGGAGTAGCAGTAGTAGTAGCAGTAGTAGCAGTAGTAGTAATAATAGTAGTAATAATAATAATAGTATTAGTAATAGTAATAGTAGTAGTAATAATAATAGGAGGAGAAGGAGTAGTAATAATAGTACTAATCGTAGTAGTAGCAGCAGCAGCTGGTAGTCGTCGTAGTAGTAGTAGTAGTAGTAGTAGTAGTAGTAGTAGTAGTAGTAGTAGTAGTAGTAGTAGTAGTAGTAGTAGTAGTAGTACTAGTAGTAGTAGTAGTAGTAGTAGTAGTAGTAGTAGTAGTAGTAGTAGTAGTAGTAGTAGTAGTAGTAGTAGTAGTAGTAGCAGTAGTACTAGTACTAATACCAGTACTAGTACTGGCAAAAAATAATAGTAGTAGTAGTAGTAGTAGTAGTAGTAGTAGTAGTAGTAGTAGTTGTTGTTGTTGTTGTTGTAGTAGCAGTAGTAGTAATAGTAGTAGTGACCCGCAGAGCTCTCAGAGTCATGTCATCTTTCAGTGCCAGCATTGCTGTAGTACTAGAAAGCAGAGCTGCAAATGAGCTGCTTTGCTCTGGAAGCTGGCCCAACGCGAGGATATTAACTTACCAACACAGGGTGCACCTTTGCCAGGACTCTCTCTTGAGGAGAGGAGCACTTCCGAGCAATGATGCAGCTGCCAGAAAATCTTCCAAGGATTAAAGTGCCCGTAACTAATCCCCAGTTTAAACAAGGGCCTGTGGCTGGCCAATATGGATCCGATGTCGGGAACCTACTTTGGTGCGGATACCAGAATTGCCGCCTTGAGCGGTTTACCCTGGCGGACCGCCGGCGGGGTTCTTGAGACTCTGAGCAGCACATCCCTTATCAGGTACGCAAAGTATAGGGGAACAGCACAGTAACGGCCTGTTTGCTGTACAAGTTAAACGCTCTGCTTCCCGAAATCACAGTCAACGCACATCCAGAAGGCCCGAGCTGCAATCTCGTCAGCATTTCATGCACCATCAATGCTGCCTTCCTGTCTCTCTATGTGCTAGCAGCCTACTAAGACGACTGTCCTGCACTGCAGCTCAGTAAGATGGGCACTGCCTATCAAAACTCTATCTCTCGACAACGAGCAGTCAGCCTCTGCAGGCATTCAAACACAAGCCCAATGCGCTCCAGGTCACTCTGAAATAAGACGGCGGAGCTGAGTCAGTTCAAACTAGCAGGGCGCCCAGAGTGTCACCACTCTTCTGCACCAGCATTGTTATTGCACTAGGCAGCAGAGCCGCAACTGAGCTGCTTTGCCCTGGAAGCTGGCCCAACGCGCAGCAACTAATCTAATAAAACAAGGGTGCACCTAAGGGTGCCAGGACTCTCTCTTGAGGAGAGGAGCAATTCCGAGCAATGACGCAGCTGCCAAACAATCTTCCAAGGACTACAGAGCCAGTAAAACAAAGTCCCAGTCTAATCAAGGGCCTGTGGCTGGCCTGCATGGTTCCAATGTCAGGAATCTATACAGGTGCGGATACCAGAATGGCCGCCTTGAGCGGTTTACCCTGGCGGACCGCCGGCGGGGTCCTTGAGACTCTGAGCAGCACACCCCTTACCAGGCACGCAAAACAAAGGGGAACATCACAGTAACGGCTGATAGACTCTTGCAAGATAAAAGCTCTGCTTCCTACAATCACAAAGAAGCGCAACCAACGAGCCTCTCACTGCAGGCAAAACAGAACCTCAGTAGCTTTAATTGCTGCCTTCTCTGACTCACTCTCTGCCTACTGCCGAGTTCCTGCAGGCTTGTAGTATGGCGCAGCAGATATCTAGGCTCTTATATTTCATTTTGCAGGCCTAGCATCCGATAGTGACTCATGGCTTCTCCTGCACTGCAGCAGATTCATGCCCCGACATTCAGTATAAGCGACTCCGAAGATGATCAGGGAGGCGACACTGTAGAAAGATGGAACATGAGGGATGTTCAAATGTGGATACAGCTGGCGCCTATCCCCGATACTCTGATTGTACCAGACTCCCACACGAACAGTGCTGAACGCTTTGCATTCGGTCTCTTAAGCACGGGATGGGCATCATATGCAGACATGGGCCTACTAATGGACTTATTGCCATCTGCCTCGCGTTCACGCCGAAGCAGCGTGACAGACCTAACGCAGACCGGCGGGAAACTTTTCTACTGTGGTGCATACCGGCATGGACCGATGGGTGGACTCATGACCAATACCATGCAATACCCGAACGTTAGCAGGTTGCTAGCATCCTGCATCAAGGGTCTTTCCCCTGCAGCGTGCTTCACATCGCTGGCGTTCCACAGGAACATTCTCACCTCCCCGCATATCGACAACAACGAGCCTGGCATAAACAACCTAATCGTTCCGCTTAGCAGATGGAAGGGAGGACAACTCTGGGTGGCCAATCCCCATGGACGTGATTACATTCGAGCAGCCACGGTCCCGGGCAACATCATTCAGGTCTCTCCACCCATGATAGCTATTGACGCCAATAAGTTGCACGCCACCATGCCATGGGAAGGCGGGGATAGACTAATCCTCATTGCCTACCACGTACGTCAGCCGGTTCTGTCACCCAGAGAACGATGCATTCTCGCCAATATAGGCATTACGCCGTCTTCCCCTTCATCACACACTGTGGTAATTGACTGAGTTCACTCAGGCCCATTGTGGAGAGCTACTGTGGAGTACACCCTGAGCTACCTCAGCAGATGCAACGAGTATTGCTTGGCCAGAAAGAACAAATGATTTGCACAGCATTTCATAATGATGGGCACAGCCTATCACGGCTTCCTCAATACCTGGCGTCTCACCACCAATCCCTGACGAGACAGACAAGGAAAAGTGAACACCTCCCCTCTGACTGCTCAACACTGATGCGGAAGCCCCTAGAGAACAGCTGCCATATCCATGTATCTTCACAACCAGTCACTATCCAGCAGACTCCTAGCAAAGCCCTCACTCCGAGGCCTCCAAGTCGACAGCGCGCTGCTGTTGCCAACAAGGCCACCGCCCCCGCATAGCCTTTCATCGTCTTACCAATCAGCTGATCTCCTACGATCCTCCGCCCTTCTGCAGAGTGATCCATGTGGGACGCCACTAGATGGACACTCAGGGTGACGGCCTGAAGGTACGACCCAATCGCAGATCGGTGCGTGTTTGCTGGACGCAGCGAAACACATTAGGACGACGGGGAGAAGCCCTCATCCTGACTGTGAGCAAAGCTAAAACTCGCCAGTAAGCTAACTCTGTCTCTCTGATCCCATTTCCTGTACAGTCTCACCTTCTTTTCAGTGTCGAATTCAGTTTCACCTCTCCTAACCATTTGCTCCAACACAATTTTCGGTGCTCAGACGGTGCAAATCACCCGCAATGAGCAGAGCCCGCTCGCTCAGCGTTCAATAAATATTAATAGTAGTAGTAGTAGTAGTAGTAGTAGTAGTAGTAGTAGTAGTAGTAGTAGTAGTAGTAGTAGTAGTAGTAGTAGTAGTAGTAGTAGTAGTAGTAGTAGTAGTAGTAGTAGTAGTAGTAGTAGTAGTAGTAGTAGTAGTAGTAGTAGTAGTAGTAGTAGTAGTAGTAGTAGTAGTAGTAGTAGTAGTAGTAGTAGTAGTAGTAGTAGTAGTAGTAGTAGTAGTAGTAGTAGTAGTAGTAGTAGTAGTAGTAGTAGTAGTAGTAGTAGTAGTAGTAGTAGTAGTAGTAGTAGTAGTAGTAGTAGTAGTAGTAGTAGTAGTAGTAGTAGTAGTAGTAATAGTAGTAATAGTAGCAGTAATAATAGTAGGAGCAGTAGTAGTCGTAGTAGTAGTAGTAGTAGTAGGAATGGTACAACAAAGCCAGAAACCAAAACAACAGAAACAATAAAACAAACAAACAAACAATAACAACAACACATGGGTTCGAGACTGTCTCAGCTTCACCTTGTGAAGTGAATGTCGCCATTACAAACACAAACTTTGAGTAGGGCCAGAAAACACTGGTTTTGGGTTTCGTCTTGGTTTGGGTGGTGTGAGGTTTCGGTTGGAGTTTGGCCGATTTGATTGGCAGCAGCATCTTTCTGCAATTTGGGGTTTCGAACCTCAGCAAGTTGTTCGAAAGGAGCATGGAAAGGTTTCTATCTGGCGCCATGTCATTTTGCACAGTTTGTAGGAACGTCTCTCCTCATCGTTCTTGTTGTTCTTATCTTCGTCATTACGACGGAGAGCATATGGAACCGCTGCGCAGTGAAGGGACACACCACACAAACAACACACCACAGACAACAACCGCACACAACATGAAGAGTCTGATCTGGCGGTTTTTGAAGTTTCTGTCATGCCTTTGCTGGTACTTGCGTTGGTTCCATATCCACAAAGGATACAGGCGCTCCACATGGAGGAAATGGGTTCTTCCAGCGGAGGAAACCGGAAACCATTGAGAGTGGCAAACTACAAACTAAGTGGTTCTGTCAATGCGCAAAAAAAACCTAAGTGTCAGAGAGAAACGTTGTTCAAGAAATCGATGGTTTTAAACGCTTTGAAGGCTCAAAGGTGAGAGCGAAGAGGCTTGTGTGATGCACGTACTCCACACAGGAGTCTCTTCACTTTGGGCTGATAGCTGATATGCAACAAGGTGACTTCACACCCAGCGAAGTGATGTTGGGTGCAATTGTTTTAACCTTGTGCTTCTACACATGCTGCATTTCTTAACCAGCTGCACCTTCTTTAACTTGCAGCCATCCCAAGCTTCAGGTCCATTGTTCTCGCATCTGGGTCCCTCCGATCACCCCTCCAGTCAAGAAATTTCAGAAACTTGCAAGTTGAGTCGATTCGCAACAGTAATGCCACGCGTCAGCACACCAGACGCTGGCAGATTGTTTCACGGAATTCATGGCGGTAACAAGAACGCCCACGTGATGGATTGCTCTTAGTGACGACATTGCAAGCAGCATTGCAACAAGTCTTTTCTGTCAATTGTGCCCACAGTTGATCTTTTGTTGCTTACTTAGTTCTAATAACTGTTGGGAACGCCCGTTTCCAACCAAATTCCTGAGTCCATTATTTGTTGGGAACGCCCGTTTCCTTCCGCAAGTACATTGTTTCTTTAGGCTCTTGCGTGTCTGTGCAGTACGGACAGCTTCGGCGTAAGGTATCTGCACTATGTCGCAAGAGCGAATTAGTTTTATTGATGGCAGTGCGTTTCAGTGCTACGCTGACGTTATGTCAGGCCATCTTACTGAGTTTGATGCCCTTTTTGCCAGAACACCATCTACGCATTTGGTTGAATATCTTAGGGATGGCTGCATCGTGTCTACGCAAGCTATGCAAGAGTTGCGTCAGGCGCAAGGAACAGAGCTCCAGTCTGTCTTGCTAATCCTAGCAAGAAGTTTCTTCAGAACTTGAAGAAAAACATCACACCACAAGCGAATATAACGATAGTGAGCAACTTGCACAGCTCTCTATCGGTTTCGGATCTTCCTTGTGTGCTCTTCCGAAACTATGACAGAGATTTCTTGCATCAAGTTTGCGGCCTCACTGGTTTCGGGTTTCGGGTTTAGGGTTTAGGGTTTAAGGTTTAGGGTTTAGGGTTTAGGGTTTAGGGTTTAGGGTTTAGGGCTTAGGGCTTAGGGCTTAGGGCTTAGGGTTTAGGGTTTAGGGTTTAGGGTTTAGGGTTTAGGGTGTATAGAAGGGAAGCTCGCTGGTGCTAAAAGCACCCGGGCCGCTCGCTTGCGTTAGCATGTAGTCCCACCCCAACCACCCAAACTATTCTCATTTAGGGTTTAGGGTTCACCCCCCAAACCCCCCTCAAGGGGGGCTTTCTTGCTTTTACAGAGAAAGAGCAGGGCGGGGTCTCCCGAGCTTCATGGAGCCTGTCAGTGACTCGTAGGCTTCTTGGAGCTTTCACGGAGTAAAATGGAAGGTGCCCAAAACCATCAAGTGCAATACCAAAAACCCACATTTTCGGGCTTGAAAGGGCAGCAAAAACGGTCGGGGGTAGCAGGGCCTCGGCCGGCCCTGCTTTTTGAAATGGAAAACCGTCGATTTTCTTACGCGTCTGGGCAAATGAGACCCTGTCAGCTCAGGCCCCAGGAGGCCCCTCTGGGAGGCCGGAAATCGACGGCTCTGGGTGGTCTCTCGTTTTCTGGATTTTTGACCAAAACCGAGCCTTCACCGGCTTCGGGATTTCAAGTTTTTCAAGGTTCTTCAAGGTTTTTCAGCGTTTTTATGTTTTTTTTATGGTTTTTTATGTTTTTCAGGATATTTCAGAGTTTGTAACCCTCAATTCTGATGGAGGGCCGCCCCCGCGACCTTTTCACAGCCTAGTTTTGGTCAAGGGGGGGTTGTGTTTTCAATTTTAAAGGCAAAATAGTCTTCTGAGACCCCCCCTAGCCTCAAACTCCGACCCCCCCTTGAAAGGGAAAGTTTGCCTCCAAAAACACCCCAAATGAGGGGGACCCCAGGATCGGCCCGGGTCCCAGTTAAAAATGCGATTTTTTGGTACTGAAATCGACGGCTCTGGGTGGTCTCTCGTTTTCTGGATTTTTGACCAAAACCGAGCGGGGTTTCAGGAGGTCCGGGAACCCTTGGGAGGGGGTGTCAGGGGGGTCTCAGGGGGGTCCCAAGGGGGTCCCGGGGGGGGGGTCCCAGGTTGCAGTCGCAAGGGAGGTCCCCAAAAGGTTTTCAGGCGAGTTTCAGGGGGTCTAGGGCGGTCCCAGGGGGGTCCCAGGGGGGTCCCAGGGGGGTCCCAGGGGGGTCCCAGGGGGGTCCCAGGGGGGTCCCAGGGGGGTCCCAGGGGGGTCCCAGAAAGTGTCGGGGTCCCGGAGAAAGACAAACCCAAAAACAACAATCGGAGGCAAAATCGCTGCAGGAGCCCCCCTGGACCGGCCCCGGCAGGGGGGGTCCCCGGAATCTGCCAGCCCGGGCCCCAGACCCCCCCGGGGGGTACCCCCCTGACCCCCGTAAAAAACACTAAAAGACATCAATGGTCGTAGGTTTGGGGTCCTAATTATAAGGGCTGACGCCCTAGGTCTGAGGCGTAGCCAGTCACTGCCGTCTCGTCTACCGGGAGGCTTTACCCTCCCTCACCGTTCTGTGGAGACGCTCGGTCGGGGACCTCGGTCGAAGCCTCGAGCGCCCATGCATATGGACAGCGGCGCTCTCGGCAGTTTAGGGTTTAGGGTTTAGGGTTTAGGGTTTAGGGTTTAGGGTTTAGGGTTTAGGGTTTAGGGTTTAGGGTTTAGGGTTTAGGGTTTAGGGTTTAGGGTTTAGGGTTCAGCACTCCGGGTCGAGCAGCTTTATGGTTAAGCTTTATTTACGGCTCGGATATAACACCCACCCACCCAGAGAATCCCACTACATTGAGAAAGCCAAAAACGGCCAAATTCTGAAAATAAAGCGGCCAAATTCTGAAAATAAAGCGGCCAAATTCTGAAAATAAAGCGGCCAAATTCTGAAAATAAAGCGGCCAAATTCTGAAAATAAAGCGGCCAAATTCTGAAAATAAAACGGCCAAATTCTGAAAATAAAGCGGCCAAATTCTGAAAATAAAGCGGCCAAATTCTGAAAATAAAGCGGCCAAATTCTGAAGCGGCCAATTCTGAAAATAAAGCGGCCAAATTCTGAAAATAAAGCGGCCAAATTCTGAAAATAAAGCGGCCAAATTCTGAAAATAAAGCGGCC